CCCCCCCCCCCCCCCCCAATCAGAGCTTCAAGTTTCCTTCTGGCTAGACAACACAGATTGAAGAGTAAATTTATAGTACCTTGCACTAATAAAATAAATAAATAAAAACACCTTGGTATGTAAAACATGAATGTTGTTACAGGTTTTAAACTATGACTCCTTGAACAGACATAATATTTAAGTATAAATTCTATGAACAGGAATGTTGTCGCCATAGTAACTTGACGCAGAGTTTGTTTAATTAAGGCTAAGCCCTTTTGTATAATTTCATTAGTATGCTAAGTAATGTATTCTGCTGGGATCGGCAATGACGACAACAAAAAGTCTTGTATTTAACATCTCGCATTTCAAAATTTAACAGCAACTAACCACTTCAGGTGGAAATTCAAGTGAACATGTACCAAAGAATATGTGGAGATACAAAAAATTGAATGCGTGTGAAAACTGAAATAACCCAACTGGATAAGCCCTCTTGAAAGAGCACAATAACAATGTATGATATATTTCCACTGTGCCTACATTAGGCATCAACACAGTTGATAGACCATATTTGCAAGCTCAGAATATAAACATACACTGTGTTTTTGGCAGGCCTCAAGAAGGAAGAAAAATATTACCTTAGAGTTCATGAGAACCTGAGGTCTCGGTCTGGGGCCATGCGCCAGGTCCACCTGCAGCCTGACCCTGGCTGCCAGACAGATCTGATACACTGGGGATAGGTCTGCATATAGGATTGGATTAGGCATGCTCGCCCAAACCAGCATTCCGGATGTGGGAATGCTCTGGGAGCTACAGCAATTAATGCTGCCACCGATCCCCACTGCCAAACCTCTGGACCCCTCAGGATCTGTATTTCTTGTATATAATGTACACCCAAGATTCTCCCAGCTGGTTTCAGGATAAAACATGCATGTCTTATTCGAGAAGATATGGTATATCCTGGCTGTGTTATCAGTTTAATGTGTTTGTATTTCCCTTTTAGGATAACATCCTTCAATACAACATATTTCTTAAAACCTGTTCTTAATTTCACAAGTCCTTCAATAAGTCAAAATAAAAAATGTATATTTTCTTGTAAAGAAGAGTGTTTTGTGCCTTTGCAAATGAGACCCCAATATTATAGAATATATTTTTGAATTTCCTATTGTTACCTGCCAAGTAGCAGTTTTGTAGAGCTGGTCCAGGGATTGCACAAGAATAAGTCTAACATTGCTACCAACTATATACAATAATTGAACCAATATAAGATCCTATATAGCTGCATGTGGAGACTAAGGTGACTAATTCACAACACCCAGAACACTAAGTGGGGGTGATACCTAAACCAACCAATAAGAAATACCAAAAAGAAGGGTCTGTCTAAAATCCATCTCTCTCCTAAACTGAGGTGCCTACCTACAATTCTGAGTTAGACACCTATGAAAGACTGACATTCAGAAGTGCCGCCGGGGGATAAAGTACCCCTGGAGGGACATGAGCCCCCCCCACCCCGCTGGTACCACACTGAATAAATCTAAGTTCTCTTTTGCCCAGATTGTTAGCTTAGCCCTTCAGTCAGTCAGGCATAAAAGAGTAGTAGAGAAGTCTTGTGTCTGAATGTATTTAATAAAAAACAACCAATCAATGAACCAATCATTTCACCTCTCCCCTCCCCTTCCCTCGTCCCCCAACCTCGCTGATACTTTTTAAAGCATTTTTCCCTTGGTGGTTGGCTTATTTGTTGCTAACTATCAGTACCATGAAGTGTAACATACACCAACTTGTCCTTTTACTCTAACCTATTTAAAGCATATCACATAACTTGATTCTTTTTTTTAGCCATTATTTTGGCTGCTTAAAACAATGGTACTGATATTAGCCTCTGTGTTCACTAGTATGCTGAAGACAGAACCACCAGGTATGGAAGTATAATCATAATGTAGACTGCTATAGAAATCTCCAGCAGTTACCATGGATACTTAAACTTGGCTGTTTAATAAAAATGCAGTGCATATTTGATGCCCGATAGATCACACCATGGTAAGGTAGGAACCTTCAGTTCCCTTTTGCCAAATACCCATCTGTTGATATGGCTCTTTTAAGAATTAACTCTTTTAATTTCCAACATTTTAGAATGCAAAAATGTGACTGAGCACAGAGATTATTAGAAAAACTTATTTCTGGTTTGTTGATAAGAATCTCATTTTGAAGTCATGACTTCAGTACATGCTTAATTTCTTTCATTGTGAAAAATACATTTATCTTATAGAAAAAAGAAAATTCTTACTGATATTCACAATAAAATTTGGAGTTGTAGACTAAAATTGGAAGCAAAATGGATAGTGAAAATAAATATTTTACAGACATTAGTAATCTGTTTTGCATGGTTTTAGAAAAGAAAAACTTTTGTTTTTTTCTGTAAAGCACTACATTTACAGAGAAAATATTGATGATGCAATTAGATCAACCACCAATCACATTTTACATGCAGGTGCTGAAACTGCAGTGCAAGGTGACAAGTGTTTTTCATCACAGAGAAATCAGCATAAGAAACAGATGCCTCAGTCACAGAATCACCAGATTGCAAGGACCCTCAAGGGTCAACTGTTCCCTTGAAATGTGTAGAAATTATTTGAAAAGGCATTATAATGGTCATTATTAAAATAAGTTAATTTCATATGAGTTAAGTCAGTGTCCTTTGGCTCACTACAAATACATTTTCACTAAGATTAATCTGCAGTACAGACAGTAGTGAAGGTAAGATTGTGCACAATACGAGAAGCTAAGGTGAAGCCATACTGTATAGTACTACATGGACTGAGCAAAGGAACCTTGCTCTCTTAGGCCCCTGACAGATGTTTAATTAAAGGTTTGATGGATCTGACTGGCGATCCCAATAATTATGCCTTCTGCCCTGATACATGTGCATGGCAGGAGGCACAATTGTTGGGACTGCAGATCAGAATCCTGGGATCTCAAACAATGATCTGAGGCTTCTTCTGCACTAGCAAATAGCAAGTCAGTCAGATGCTCAGGACTCCTGGCCTCAGAAATGTAGCAGAGTCAAGGGCTGAGATGCATGCATCCCTGAGGCTGGAAGCCCCAATCCCCAGACTGCCACGGCCAGCCTCAAGGGTACATCAAAGCCAAGGGCTCTGGTGTGCCTGTAAGGCTAGAAGTGCTGTGCCCAGCCCGAGGGTACACCAGAACCCATTCTTCCCTTTGCCCCTGCTGCAAGCCCCACAGCTGAGGATACTGCCTCTGCTGGGAGCCCTA